AAAGTGGAGATGTCCGGTTTCATTTTCAACAGTTTCACAGTCAGGTCCACACCTTGCTTGTCACATCCATGTTCAAAATGCCAAGAAAGCAAAGGCAAAAATGATCAGGGCTTCTTAACCAGATCCCACACAGAAGGTGGTTGATATCATGTGACACCGCAAAGGAAGGAGTGTTTAAGAAGCAAGTCTTGATGCAGGGGTATTGGAAAAAAGTGACATTTAATAACAAAAAATTTAATAACACATTACAGGAAGCTGAAATAAAGTCAAAAGACAGCCTTGCAGCAATCCACCACTTCATCTATTTTGTATGTCTCTCCAGCCCAGGGGTGGGCAACTCCAGGCCTCGAGGGCCGGTGACCCTGCAGGTTTTAGATGTGTCCTTGAACCAACACAGCTGATTTAAATGGCTAAATTAGCTCCTGCAGTTCTCCAGAGGCCTGGTAACAAACTAATCATGTGATTCAGGTGTGTTGACCCAAGGTGAGATCTAAAACCTGCAGGACACCGGCCCTCGAGGCCTGGAATTGCCCACCCCTGCTCCAGCCTCACCTGCATCCTCCTAAATAAGCACAGGTACCTTCCTAACCTGTGCTGAGTAACCCAAAATATAAACACACATAAGGCTATAATCCTAGTTCCTGCTGACATACAACTTAAGTTTTCACAGTACTCTAAGCAGTTCTGTGAAAACCTAAGTTTGTCCTTACTGCTCCACAAGTTTAACAGGGTAAGTAGTAGCCAAGTACCGCTAATCAAATGCAGTTGTTTAATTGATCAGCAGCATGTGTGACAACTTCTATAAAAGACTTGGCCGTTTGCTGGTCTGTGGTGTTCAGGTGTGTGTTAATGCCATGACATTCCAAGGAGTGGACGTCCCAGCAAATTCACCAAACGTCAAATGGTGGTGCATTTCTCAGAGAAACTGCAAAAACACCCAAGAAATACATCTCAGACTACAGGGCTCAGTTAGCCTGTTAAATGTTAATTCATAACACTACAATTAGAAAAAGACTGAAGAGGTATGGCTTGTTTAGAAGGGTTGCCAGGAGAAAGTCTGTTCTTAGGTTTGCAAAGCTGCAAAAACAAATGTCCTTTGGACATACGAGATCAATGTGGAGGTGTCTGACCACAATGAACAGCGCCACATCACGCCACATTACGGTGATGGAGGGGTGATGATTTGGGCTTGCAATCCACCATGATAATCCAGTCGTCTCTGTATTCTAGAGTCAGATGTGATGGCATCTAGCTGAAAGTTGAAACTTGACTTAACTTTCCTGCAACAGGGAAATGATCCCAAAAAAGCAGCAAGTCTGTAAGAGAATGGCTGAAAAAGAAAATAATCAAGGTGCTGCAACGGTCCAGACCTCACAATGAAATGCACTGAATTAATTCCAGCCACCTCAATTGCAACCTCAATGGACTGACGCAACATTGAAAAGGAGAGTGGACCAAAAATCCTCCACACCACAGTCAGAGACTGATACAGTCATACCAAAAACAATTACTTCACGTTAATGCTGCTAAAGGTTGTTCTGCAAGCTACTGAATCAGGGTGTGTACTCAGTTTTTCACACACTGCTTCTGCATTTATGCTGTTTCTCTCAAATAAACATGATATGATGTCACATGATTATATTTAAACAATTCTAGAACTTGGTAAATCAGAATAAAAAAATAGTTGCTAAACCTTTAAAACAAAACTGAGTAAATGCTATCTGTCCTTGACTCACCCTTTGCATACAGTTAGAAAACAGGGCTTCCATTCATATTTTAACTATCCAGACTGTTTAAATGTTAATTTCATGTGAAAATATTTTCTGGTGGGGAAAAAAAACAAATCATTAGTGAGCCAGTCTGCTTCACAGGTGAACTGATGAGTAGAAACGCTGTCATTGGCCAGTCAACTTGCCAAATGTACATTTTTACTGTTCCCATTCCACTAAGCCATTATATCGAACCCTGATACACTTCCACAAAACTTTCTATTATCTTACCCACACTAGTAAACCAGTTAAAGTCACCCGAGGCACCCACATTGGCGGTCAAAGCTATTTTATACCAGTTTCAAGTTAAACAGGCCCTGCATTTTCAGAAGTAAGTAATTCCCTCAAACCTCACGACTGAATGAAGGTAGGCCCGTTACTAATTACTGTTTCAAATATTCAAATCCTCCTCTTTTACTCACTGCAGGCAGCGCTTTGCACTTTGAACAGACACCGTCTTTTCTCTGGCTGCTTTTAATATATATTAAGATAAAAATAAAACCGCCACGAAGCAGTTTCTTTCAGTCTATTTTACCACCACCCTTTGTAACCCACTCCCACAGCAACTTTTGCTCAACAGGTGCCATTGTCAAGAAGTAATGACATGTGTATGACTGCTCAGCTCAAAGCAGCACCATTACTAACACCTGGCTCTCCAAAAATCTACAGGTATCTGCAGCTCAGTGGGTGAGCAGGTGACCATAGCCCTTTGCTGCGTGTCTTTCTCTCTCTCTTTGCCTAAAGTCAAATGCCAAAAAATAATATTGAAAAAAAAAACCCAGCTTTGTTGAGAAGTCATTAACACAACCAAAGCAATACCAACAACACAATTTTGCATCACACCAGATGATGCCGAACACAAAGTGCTTGTAGGCCAGCGAATATGCAAGACCTTCCCATTATTTGTAGAGGTGCATGTGTGCCAAATTAAATAATAAATAAAAGAGCCACCTTTTTTCAGAGGCTACATTTATGGGTCGTCACAGGAGATCATCTGCCCCCATCTCACCCAGCCCCTAGTACCATCCTCTGTTACACCAACACTCTTCATGTCCTCCCTCAGTACATCAGTGAAACATCTTTTTGTCAGTCAGCACGGTCATCTTGTAAATCTTCCCCTTCGCTCTTGCTTTTATCCTTCTGTCAAAATTCACTCCCACCCCCGTCTCCGTCGGCACCACCCTTGTTGCACTCTCATCTTCATCTCTCTTGTGTACTCCTCATTGTTTTGGATTGTTGATTCCAGGTAAACTCCTCGACCGCCACTATTTCTACTTGTTGCATTTTCATTGTTACACCTGTCTCCCTCTCATTCACATACAATTTCTATTCCTTTCTCTCCAGAGCATACCTCCACCTCTCCAGGCTGCACCCTATTCTCCTTACAGATCACTATGTTGATCTGTGGCAAACATCACAGTCCATTGAAAATCCTGCCCGACCTCATCTGTCAGCCTGTCCATCATCAGAAGCAGCTCAGAGCATATCCCTGATGTAATCCCACCTTGAACCCATCTGTCACTCCTACCACACACCTCACCAAGTGCCATCTTAAAACATTATGTACAGGTCTATTTATAAGGCATAAAAACAAAGGTAACCACTAGGAGATGCTCCCATCCCTCAATCTCTAATGTGTGTGTGGATTTGTGACAGAATCTCTAGCTACAGAGTGTCTGTAATATTACCTCCGAGGACGCATAAAGCTTAAATCGTTTTGAATGTATTACCGTTGTCGCAGTCTATTTTGTTTAACATAAACCTGGACTGGAATTCTTCACACAGTTTGTAGAAAGTGGGAGCCCCACGTTCAGCTCCTGAAGCTCCAGATGCTCTCAATGCCGCCTCTGGGTCCCTGGACCTCGGCTTGATAACCAAAGGGAAAGCCTCCTGCAGGATTTGTCAGTATCCCGTGCACACCACAGAGCACGGCCACCGATGCGACCCATATGACTGACCCTGTCAGTGCAGGGCCGGACTGCCAGAGGCCAGAGCCGACCTTTAGATCAAATTAGTCAGACTAGCCAGAGCTAGGAGCTAACCAGCTAGGTGTAACATTACTAAAGAGACAACCACGTTAGCTTGAATATGTCACACATGCACCTCATGTTCAGCTATACAGAGCTTCAGTAAGTTTCCACAAATTTGTGAACCACTGCGCAATGTTAAATGCCCAGCATGAGGCAGTGACACGTCGCATTGAGGATGCTAACTAGCTAATGTTGCCAGTGATGCAGAGGCCGTCGCTGGCTTCGCTGCTCCCAGCCCCTCAACACACTCACCACAAACCGCCAAAGACACAAGAAATTTACCGTCATGTTGGGACGACTGAGGGGATCCCGAGGCCTCCGAGGCCATGGTTTCCTGAGGGGGGCGTGAGGCAATTAGCAGGGCGGTGAGATCAGAGCTAGGAGCGTCCAAGAAAACAAGCTAACATCACAACTAGTGTCAAGCTAGCGACGAAAGAGTGCGACTTCTGGTTTGTCTTTCAAAATAAAATCACCACTTGTGAACTCTCCAAAAGGCCTGCGTTTATTCGTAATGTAAACCAACATAGAAATAAATACAAGACAAAATAATCATATATCTACTTATTTCGAAAGTTACTTTCATATCTGTCCACCACTTAGCAGTTTTGTGGTAATATTTTGAAAGCACAGAGTCATTTTCCTATAAGTAAACAGCGTTAGTTTCCCAATTCCGGTGTCACCTTTTTAAAATAAAATCGACTTGTTTTTTCCCCCCAAACTAAATCTCGCTTTCAACAGTTAATTCTTAACAGAAAACAAAAGAGATATTTATCAACAGATGATATAAATCCCAATTATTGTGAATGTGCAGCTGGACAGGAAAACACCTCCCTAAAGATTACACTATGATAAACTGATGTAAAGTCATGATTTATAAGAGGAACTGAAAATGTGAGAGACCTACACAAGAGTCCAGTGTTCAGTGCTGACACTGGCAATGTTTGTAGTTTAAGGAATATGTATTAAAATGTTAATTTGAACCTGTTTAAAATATCAAAATCTGTCATCTGTGATGACATTTCTATTCCGACCAAATAAATAAAACAAAAACAATTTTCTCCAACTGAAGTATTAACACAGATGTGTAAATTTGTCATGCGTGTCTGACTCTTCTTATAGCCTCACACAAACACCCACATGATTTGGTCACTGGTGCATGACAGGGGGTGGGGATAATCCAGTCTCAGCCTTCATGTTTCTTTGGTTAGGTAAGAAAATTAGACGATGGCATGCAAAGATGCAGCACATGATGAGTCCTGTCATATCTAGACACCATCCGCTTTCACCTTCTGTTTACTGAAATTGCCGTCCTTCTTAAACCAGAGATATGGAAGAAAGGTAAGGCACTTATTTGGAGTATTTGGAAGTTGACATGTATTGAAATAACACTTTAATTGCATTTTTTGTGATAAAAATCATTCTATTCTTATCCATAATTAGAGATAATACTTAAAAAGTGGTTATCAGGTCTAACTGCAGTGAAAGGCGTCACGTGTCAAAGCAGACAGTAAACTGTTATGTGCTTTCATGTCCGAATATCACTTTATCTTGCATGGCTGTATTCTGAATCAGCAGTATTTGTAACTGGAAGTTGGCAGGAAGTGGCTGTGTAGAGAGGATGCCGGGCATGAAGATAAACTGGGGAACGAGTATTTATATCATTCCGTTCACAGCGATAAAGGCACATAAATACATCCGTCCAACTGGAGTAAACAATTCACTTTAAAGCTGACCTTCTCTTTCAGCTTTAAGTAGCTCAAATACTTTGGCTGAGGTTGTCTGAAGTGAGAACAAAAACTGAGACGTTTTGATGGTTGGCAGTGCAGTTGGCTCAGAAGAGTCCCTGGAGGTTATTGAGGTGCCTGTTTGATTCTCAGAATGCTAATCTTAATACAAAAATAACCCCAGGACTTAGTCAACACAGAAAAAAAGAGGAAGTGGTTGAATGGCCTTCTTTCCGATCCCCAGCTCTGTGTATACTGAAAAGCAGCGGCTCAGATGTGCTTCTCGTGGTGAAGTGTTCAGACTTTTTTGTTTCTTTTTTAAATCCTTCAAACAGTGCGATCATGGCGTTTATCCGCAAGTACCTATGGTTATGGGTGGTCGTTGGCATGGTTTTCGTGTCTGTGGTGATCAGCATCATCTTCATGTTCATCTGCAAGTGCATATCAAGAAAAAGAGGTAGGTTTGAATCTCTGCAGCGCACCTGCCAATAAAAACTGAACAAGCCTTCATCTGCACATCAACGACATACATTTTTACCACTTTTTTCCTGTTCTCACACAGATTTATTCTCTTCCCCTTCTTATAGCAGAAATGTTGAATTGAAACCCCGATAAGCGAAATGTCAAAACATTATGCAACAAGTGTTTGGGAGCTTTAGAGAGTGCGTGAAGGTGTTTTCCTGTAAGTTTATGTAGAAAAGTTCATTTCAGGAATGGTGTTTGTCCATTTGGTTGTGTGAGCTGTCAGACAGCTTTTTTAAGGTGTGGACACACTGAAACTGGTTGCGTGGTTCAGGAACCGATGCCTTTTTTTCTGTATACACTGTGTACACCCTGTAGCCACACAGTCCAGTATTTTTGTCATTCGTATTTGCTTTTTTTAGGCATGACTGCTATTTTAAGCCATGTATGTTAAGATTTTTACCGGTATTAAAACAACTTAAATAATTTCTTGTTATTCTTTTTAAATTGCTGATAAAGCTCATAAGGTAACACTTAAAAATGATGCATGTGCTTTTAATTTTTTTTCCCTGTCACAAATAGAAAGATCTAATTCCAGATGTGAGCATGTGCAGAACCCCACCATTCTGCAGTGTTAAATCGCTTCAGAGGCTTTAATCTGTGGTGGCCCTAACTCTGCTCGTGAGTCTGGATGTTCACATATGACATTATTTAACTATATATGCACAGCAAAATGAAACTTACTAAAAGTATTTTTTTTAAAGAGAAAAAGAAAAAATTCCTAGAAGTAAAGAAAGATTGGGAAACAACACCTCAATATATTTTGCATACTCGTGTCATTTCCAGTAATTTTATTTGCACAAAAAGTGTTTTTAAAATATGTTCGTTCAGCAACCTTAGAGCTTAGTTCAGTTTGTGATTTGGAACAAGCCAGAACAAAACAGAATAGAGCTAAACTCATTTTCTAGTCTTAAGATGCTATGTGATGACAGTGAGAGGAAACGTTATATGGCACTTACTGAATTCAAGACTGATACAGTAATAAGATGCCATCATTGCAACATGTCAACCTGTGAAATTTCTTCCCTGCATGATCAGTTGTAGGTCTTATCATTGCAAGTATGACACCATCTAAGAGCCTCAGCAATACAGCCACAAAGTGGCAGACCACATACATTTATAGAGTGTAGTCACTGAGTGCTGAGGCGTGTGGTGTCTAAAACTCACCAACGCCCTGCTGATGCAGCCTCTTCAGAGTGTCCCAAGCGCTCCATGTCATGGGGGTGTCCATGGCTGAACAGCTCCTGTAGGTGTTACGTGTAGGTAGCCCTCTACTTTTGTCCATATAATGCATCCTAATATGGTCATCTAAGGCACATAGCTCTACACCATTGCTTTCTGTTTAAGAGGGGCAGTTAATCAGAAGTAGGATAACTTAAACAGAGAAGAGTTAAAATGCCTTATTTAAACAGAGGAAATAAATAAGGGACCGTAAGACTGGTCAGAATGAGATTATTTTGAGCTGTGAGTGATGCAAAGTTACTCTAGTTCAAAAATAAAAAAATATGGAGTTACAGGAATCCCTGTATAATAATGCATACACTATTTTTTTCTGATACTTTAAATGTGTTTTTGGTAGCACTTTCTATTACAGCATGGTAATAAAGGGGTAATAGTAGGGTAACAAGGGGGAAACGAGAGGGTAATAATGTGGTAATCTCTAAGTTATTGCTATGCAATTACCAAAGTAATAACCATGTAATATCCAAGTAATATTACACGGAAATTTGTGTAATTGGATAATAAGGGCCCCAAAACTGTGGGTAACAATGTGGAAATAGAGCTCGGTAATAAAGTGGTAATAGTAAGGTAAAAAGGAAGTGACAATGATGTAATAATGTGATCATTTATAAATTATTACCACTTTACCTGTGGTAGTTTCTGTGTAATAAGCACAAAACAGAGCTGCAAAATGCAAAACTGTCTGCATCTATTTAATAGCACATCAATAACCTGTTAATAACCTATTAATTAAATGTGTTTGATTGTTACCTGGAATTAATATTATGGAATTATTATGTTATTAAATAGAAACGAGCAGTTTGCATTTTGCAGCTCTGTTTCCTTTTTATTACACAGAAACTACCTGAGATATTTCTAGGTAATAAACACACTTCTTTAAGTTAGCTTTAATAGGTTATTCATATGTTATTAAAGAGAAACAGGCAGTTTTGCATTTTGCAGCTCTGTTTCCTGCTTATTACACAGAAACTACCATGGGTAATTCAGTAGTAATAACGTAGAAATTACCACATTGTTACGTTCTTCTTTCTTCCTTGTTACCCTACTATTACCCCTTTATTACCGAGCTCTATTTCTATATTATTACCCCCAGTTTTGGGGCTCTTATTATACTATTACATACATTTCAGGATAATATTACTCAACTGTAATCACTATTGCTACCATGATATCACTTGAATATTACATAGTTATTACTTTGCTAATTGCATAGTAATAACTTAGAAATTACCACATTATAACCCTCTTGTGTCCCACTTGTTACTATTATCCCTTCATTACCGAGCTGTGATAGAAAGTGCTACTGTTTTTTTACTGTAAATATACTGCTTACAGTATATTTACAGTATACTGCTTGTCCTGTGATGGTATTGTACGGTCTCACCTCTGTATTATGCCCTCAGGTAACTGAGGTTATGAGCCCACGAACCTCTCTCAGTGACCTGGGCTTTACTGTTATTTATCCTGGACTTAGGAATAATCTTCCTTCCACATAAGAATCTGCCCACCAACTGGCCGTTTTGAATCACCTTCCTCTTTTTAGTTCCTTTTAGTCACTCATGGTTTGGTCTTTTATTTGACTGTTTTTTTTTATTTTATTTTATTTGACTGGCTTGTTTTTTCTTTTTAAATAATTCATTTCTGAAGATCTGGCATTGCAACCATCTCCTGTGGGTGAGAATAAAATGAGTTTGAAATGTACACTCTGTACATTAGGTCATGTTGTGTGCCTGTCTGTTATGTCAGAGACATTCATAAAGTTGCTTCTCAGTGAAGGAAGGTTTTTCTTTATCCAGGTCATGACTCATGTACTGTACAGACTGTAAAGCAAGCCTGGGATTTTTAGGCTTTATGAATAAACACCCGGTTCAGAAAAACGTAGCTCCTTCCAGAGAAAGCTGCAGTCAGATTTGTGGAAGTTAAGAGTTGAAGCCACTCATCTTCAGGCTTGACTCACCAGAATCACACAGAACATGAGGGCAGCGTTGAGACTTTGCCATTGGAAATGCATTGCATCAGTGTTGAGGCGAGAGATCCAAAGGCAGGACCTTCCACAAATAACAGCAAACCTTTATTCATGCTGAAAAGTCTAACACAAAGTACAAAAAATGTACAGGCAGAAACCAACAAGTCCTCCCTGTAACAAAGACTAAGGGGAAGGACAGGGCTATATATTCAGATACAGTCAGGACGAACTGAGCAGAAGCAGGAAAGGAGACGTTACAAAATGTTTTGCAAAAAAGAAATGATGAAACCAGAAACATACAGAATTTTTTTTTTTTAAACAGAAACCACTAGAGTGTATGAAATGTTTATTTAGCTCCACTAAAAGCAGGTGTCAGGGGGTTTGACGCTGGGGAAAATCGTGGACAGATGGACAGTAGTCAAAGAGCTAGACAAACTACTGGTTTCTTTGTCTTTTCTAGTACTTTGTGGTTTCTAGTGATATTTTGTCTTTTATTTGTGATATGAGGTGATCAGCAAGATTGAAAGAGGCGGTTTACATGACCTGCTGTGATGTGAGGTTTGCCAGGCAGGAGTCAAAGAGGAAACCCACAGATGAGATTCATGGATGTAGTGAAGGAGGGCATGGGGTGAGGATGTTAGGGATAGGGTGAGATGGAGGCAGATGATCTGCGGTCATGACCTCTAAGGGAGCATCTGAAAAAAGAAGTTTCCTCTGTGTTTCACTGTCTCATCTTTTGTTAGCACCTGTTCCTCTGCCTCTGTGGCTGCTGTGAGCTTCTTGTCCCTGTGTTTAGCGTTGTTTCGTTTCCTGTGTCAGTTATGTTTCGTGCCGTTTGGACCATGCTGATTGCTTTCACAGGTGTGTTATCCCTTTTCCCCCGTGTGTCTCATTTTCAGTATACTGCATGGTTTTTGTACACATTGTAAAACGAACTAAGCTGTTACCTTATTATAAGTGTCAAAATGCAATATTGTTTAAATTCTAAAGCCTAAACCCCCCAGAAATCAGAGAAAGTAGCTTCCTAGTATCTAAATCTAGTTTTCCAAGTTCAGTGTCACTAAACGGTCCAGCTAATGCTAAGTCCTGTGACCTGACATTGTACTGCAGAGATAACTTTTTTTGTTCTCAGCAGTTTTATGGGGCCCCTCAAGACAGATCAGAGTGGTTATAAGATCTTATAGAAGGTATATGTTATCTTGACAAGAAGAAAAAATAATGACATCTTTGCATCAAATGTCCTCCATTATTTTATGAATCCTTTCATGTTGTTTTTTTTCCCTTGATGGGTTTCAAGCTGTTGGCGACCAGCATCATTAAACAGAAATCTGGACACCTGACACACAGGATTGGTTCATTCCACTTATTTACTATACCCTTAGGTTCAAAATAAGTGAGAGCAAACTGAAATGACTGTCAGACACCAGTTTCATTTTTAATTCAACTACCTCTTTTTTTAAAAACTCACTGCTAAACCAACACATGCACGTGTTCACCACAAATCATAAGCCGGAAAGGGAAGAGAAACCAAACCATGACACACTAGAAGCTAAACTACTTACTTTAAGGGTTCGTTGCAAGCCAGAAGAACAACTATTATAATTGTATGAATTACTATTATTAGGGGGTGCCCTCTGGATCTGATTAGCTTAGATGAAACTTTAATGATCCCTGTGGGGAAACTGGGCTGCATCACCACAAAGCGGGGCTTCGTGCTGGTTGAGCGTATGCACATGTATAAAGAGCTAATAAAATACAACACAAACACTAATCATAGGTAACAGCATGTGGAGATAAAAGAACACTGTGCGTTTGAAAACAGCAGAGCTCTTTGTTTATTCATTTATGCATTTAAATATGGTTTGTTTAGATGCTTTAAACATACTTAAAAGTACTTTTTTCCTCATTTTATCCTATTTAAATACTCTTATATCATATTTGGATTTATTTTTCTCCTTTGTTTGTGGCAACACAATCCAAATCTGTTCTTTAAATCCTTTTAAATGGCCTTTAAGTGCAAATATATTGATCTTTTTTCCTAATTGACTTTGAATTAACTGTGTTTTCTTTTTTCCCCCCCAACAGGCCAACACAAAATCCACAATGTGAAAAACGAATTCAACTTCAAAACTGAGTAATGCATAAATGTATACTTATCATATAACAGTGAATGTACACAATGAATGTACTAAAAACAGGCGCAGGTTTACATTTAAAGAATCAGACTTGTTGTTTTTATTTCTATTGTCTGACTTATGCTTCAGTGAGAAGTCTATGTCGCTTCTATGTTTATTGTATTTATTATTAAGCAGTGTTTTTATCAAACGGGGAGCTATTTCTCCCATTTTCATTTGCAATGCTAAGCTAAACTAACCAGAAAAAGGGCTTCAGTACTGAATCATGAAATTCCCAACACAGCTGATGGTGTTTTCAACAAGCAAAACTAGTTTTAAACCAACTTTATAAGCACAAATTGAATTGTTATATATTGTGTGTTTAAATTGACTCTGCATAGCTAGCTATAATGCTAACTGTAAGCTGCATTTGTAACAACCACACAGTATATATACAGTCTATAGCAAAAACAAACTTTCAGACATGAGTTCTTACTGAAATACAGCTGTTTTAATATTCCTTGGAAAAAAAATCACAAGCCAATATGATAATACATACAGCAAACATGCTAAAAATAGTGTATTAGCTAAACTACTTCCACCATTCACTCTGTGGGCTGTGATGTTCTGACACATCCAGGATGTAACCAGTATAAAAATATGATACATTATAAATGTAGTTTTTTTTTGGGGATGAAAAAACTTGGCTGGGCAAGTATAGTATCAAAATCATTTTCCCTGTTCCCTGACATCTGCGTAACCATTCATGTAGCGTAATAGTAACATACAAAAAGTAACCAGTTCCCCACTGCAGTACCATCCACACATTCTCTTCCTCTTATCCTTGTTAGGGTCGCGGGGGGCAGAGCCTATCCCAGCTGCCATAGGGCTACAAAATATGTCAGCATATGTTACATTTAGACTTTAAAAGTTTATATGTCACATTTATGGTGTTCTGTTACATTTTTACAAAGTTGCAAAAAAATCTCTATGTGGTTTGGTTACTTTCCATGCACAGCACTGTAAAAGCAAGTAATGTAAGGCCCCCCCCCCACCCCCCCAAAAACAAACAAACAAACAAAAAAAACCCCAAAAAACAAAACAAAAAACAGTCTTTTTGTGTTCATAGAGATGAATTTCTTGGGGTTTTTTTTATTGAGCTTACATGCAAACATTCCTTGAGAGTTGTCCGTCATACTAGACATGATACAGTCAGCGGTTGCTAGGGAAGTGTGTGCCTTCTCCAACCGGTTAGCAGTGGTTCTTTGAGGTTTCTGGCTGTCACTGGGTGAAATTGATTGCAAAGATGTCACTGAAACCAAAAACCTCCCAGTGATTGTTTTGGTTGCTAGCAGATTTCCATGGTTACCTGTAATTTTTCATGTCAAGGATGACTCTCTAATACCAAGGTACAACGAGTTACAATAATCCAGCTCAGTTATAATAAAAGCATACATTACTGTTCTGAATTTATCTTTTGACAGGATGGGTTTTGACCAGTTGCCTCAGATGAAATAAGCTGGATTTCACTGCTGCTCTGACTTGACTGTCAAATCTAAAATCCCTATCCATTTTAAAACCCAAATTGGTGACAGTGGGCATACTGTGCTAGACTGTCCATGTCCACAGGAAAGGACTCACTGGTGACACCCAATAGAGCCATGGGGCAGGAGATATAGGGAGAAAACCAGAGGTCAGAATCAGAATACTTTATCAAACCCCAAGGAAATTATGGGGTTATAGTTGCTCCAAGACAATAAGAACAGTAGCAGATTGAACTAAATTACAAAATATAAGAAATAACGGTAATATATACAAATAACACAATTATAAATATCCAGAAAATTACAGCGATTTAATATATATGATTGACATTTTACTCTAAACAGTAAAACTTTGTTATTTTCACCCTAGAGGATGTGTAACTATTACACTGTGTACTGTGCATTAGTTGGAAGTCCACATATTGATCAGCATAGGAGTGTTAGCATAACATGCAGTATATGACATTTATGTTGTACTATTTGGAAACTTTTTTCTGCAAGGCTTCCAAAAAGTCTCTGTGTGTCTGTATATTTTACGACCACAGCAGTGTAACCAGTTGATAATGTTACAAACTTGTGACCAAATGTAACATTGAACTAGCAGCTCACTCTTACCACAAAACTTAAAATGACAGCAAGACTTTGTAACTGATATATTTCAGTAGAAAGTATAATTCATGTCTGCATCATGTATCCAAACCAAGAAAATGTGAAAAAAACAAGGAACCAGAGCTTTAAAAGTACTATTGTGTTAAACATTATATTTTAACCCAAACACTGATTCTTTTCTAAACCTAACCAAATAGGTTTAATAGGCAAAGGTAAGAAAGTTGGTTATATAAGTAGCACAGTTATGTGCTAAATCTCAGCAGTTTTAATGGCTAAAATTTAAAAATGGATAGTTTTTTCACTTAATAATAGATTTAAAAATTAAATGAGTGTGAAAGTCTGTGACATGCAGTATTCAAAGTTAGGTCTCTAGTGTGCACAGCCAATTGGCTTGCTCCGCTACCTATCCCTCCAACCTACAAAATTTGTGCAAGTGAAAAAAAAGTATAATTTTGTTCACATGGATACAAATCAGATTTGGGCCAAACCAGAAAAGTGCTGTTAATTCACAAATAAGTCCAAAACAAAGAATTCTATTGGCTCTTTAACAGCAACTGTACCACAAATCGTGAAGGTTCTTTTAAAGCAGCAGCAGCTGGCTTTTCCACAGACAGATGGAAAATCATGTTCAGTGGAAAGTTCATGTCCAAAAGCAGGAATTAAAAGTTGTGACTTCATGAACTACCATCAGACTGTGTTGGGCATTTTGTGTTTTGAGTTTCATTTATAATTTCTAGTTCTTTATGTTATTTACTCAGCTTTCTCTCTGTTGCCACATTTCAGTCCGTACAAGTCATCCCATATACATTATTAATATTAATATTATTATTATCATAATCAATATTCATTTAAACAAATGATGCATTTAAACATTTATGTTTCCCCATATTTTCCATATACTCCATATATATATTTAAGGGACCATGTAGCTTAAACATGTCTGTTGTACCAAAGTAAGCTCTGCAGACCTTACACTGTGTGCTCACATCCAGATTCAGACATCATTGCAGACTTTACATTCTTTAACGTAGATTTTTTTGCTTGACATTTTCTCTTGTCTGCAAATTTGCAGGAGCAACAAATACCAGCAGAGAAACATTGAAACGGGCACTCCACCTCTACCTCCGCGGACACAGTTTCTCATGGCAGGCAAGACTTTATTATACCTTTCAGTGGCTCCTACAGATTGCCCCTCCTCTTATGAAACCACGCTTCCTTCTCTCACTTTCAGATCTTTGAAATTAAAGCCTCATCCAGTCTGCCATTTGACCATAAACCACAAACTAAAGGGCAGCGCGTGTTCACCAGTTTACATGGCAGTGACAGTTTTATGCACAAGATTCAGATCCAAGACAGCACCACATATTCTGATCCAAGCTAAGGTTTCAAACTTACTAAGAAGTGTTTATGATGTCTGTTTTGTCAAGGATTTGGGCCAAACAAGGAAAGTGCTCCTTATTTTACAAGTCAGACAAATACGAAGAATATTTTTGGCTTGATGTAATTGTAACTGTACCACAAACTGTGGAAGGATACACAGCAGTCTGCTCCTTCTCATTTTTAAATTCAGACTTATTAAAAGTAGAATAGGAGTCAGAGCCTTCACCTTTAAGACCTCAGCTCCCAGTTTGGATTTGAGAGACGCTACCTTTAAGATAAGGGTTAAAGCGTTGTTTTTTGATAAAGGGTTCGATCAGGGACCATCTTTACCTTCTTGATAACCCTTTCAGGCGGCTGTTGCTGTGAAATTGAACTGAGCTGAATTGAATAACAGAAAACATTTATGAGTTTTAAAAATGTAAAGTCAAACTGGTGAACTTCACAAAACAAGTAGTAACCTCAAGATGTTTAGCCCAGCCAGCAGCTGACAAACATCAATAATATGGCAAGCTCAGGCAAGGAAGAGAGAAAAACTTCTATATTTTGACTTGCTATGCCTGCCTTAGCTGTAATGCTAAGCTACAGGAACCACAGCTGTTTATTAAGAATGCCCCTTCACCCACAACAGCAGCAAGAGGTGGTGCACAGAAACATCCATCTTAATCACAGTGCTCCGCTAACCACATAAAACACAGAACACATACAGCTGCAGTAATGTTATACACTAACACAAAAATGGCTAATCAACACCGGATAACTGTAACTGCCGTATAGCACTAAAGCCTAGAACACATAAACATCACGTATACAGTCCCATAAGTCATCGGGTCATTTATGTGACATCAGCAGTTTACAAGTAGTAATATTTAAGTATTACTAGTATTAAAGTATTAACAAGAATTGCACTTAAGAAAAAAACTGAGGGGTCAACAGAGAGTTTTCTCTTTAAACAAGCTGAGAAAGTTGATTCTGTTGATCTGAATGCAGCGTTTTCAGCAGAAGAGTGACTTCTTCAGTCTTGGCTAACTGCAGGTTTCCCCAACCTTATAAAAATTTTCATAACGAACAAAACTAGCACCTTTGACTAACGATGGGCTGTGAGGTCGGTTTCATTATGATTGGTATGCAGTGGCGGTCCTAGCCTGTTTGGTGCCCCGGGCGAACACTCCCCTTGTTATTGATCCCTTTACCCCGAGTCCTAAAGTGTATATTTATTTTCTTACTCTTCTTATATTTATTGTTTATTTTCTTGCACTGCTGTAACTGGAGCCTCGTCGTCTCGTCTCTCTATATGCTGGACTGTATGTAGTGGAGATGACAATAAAGTTTACTTTGACTTCAGCAGCGAGCAGGCGCACCGAGGGCTCTCGCGCTCACTTTTCGCATATAGAATTTCGAAAATACATCGGTGCAAATTATAAGTCTGTATCATAATGTCTGGTGTTTTCGTGTTTGTTGTATGTTTTTATTTTATTTTATTTTGCGAGTTGGTTATTAGATGCTCACGGTGGCACGGTGTTTAGCACTGTTGCCGCACAGCAAGAAGGTCCTGAGTTCAATTCCACCATCAGGCCGGGGTCTTTCTGTGTGGAGTTTGCGTGGGTTTCCTCCGGGTACTCCGGCTTCCTCCCACCGTCCAAAGACATGCAGCTTGGGGATAGGTTAATTGGATAAATTACCACTAGATGTGAATGTGTGTGCGAATGGTTGTCTGTCCCTGTGTGTTGGCCCTGCGACAGACTGGCGACCTGTCGAGGGTGTACCCCACCTCTTGCCCTATGACAGCTGGGATAGGCAATTTTGGTTTTTTTTGCTGATGCCCGTGATGCCGCCCTCCACCACAATGCCGCCCCGGGAAACCGCCTGTGTCGCCCGTATCAAAAACCGCTACTGTTGGTATGCCAGTCGTCATTACCGTTGCTCATGACTTGCTCATCATTGGTCATCAGTACCAGTCACAGAGAGTTAGGGAATGACTGCAATCACAGCAGTGTAGGATGGTGAAAGATGAACCCATCTGTTTTTCTGGTTGCTAAGTCTGTGAAGATGATGTTGTAACATCCTGATGACACGCAGTTTGTCCTCCAGTAGATGATGAGACTCAAACTTTAAATACTGATCAGTATTGTTGGTTTATGGTACACACGGACTTTCAAATGTCCCCCATTGCTGATGGAAAGATGACCATCTAAGAAAACTAGCCTGTCATTTTTTTACTCTGCCCTGGAGAACTTGATATGTTTGTCCACCAAGTTAATGAAATCAGTGAATCCTGATATGTGCTGAGGTTTGGTTTTCAGCCAGGTGTTGTCCACATACCTGAACTAATGGCTCAGTGGCGTTCCAGGAAAGAATAACAGAGCCCTATTTTCTACTTTTTCCATTTACAAGTTAGCTACACTGAGCGAAACTAAGGAATCCATGGTGCACCCATGTTCCTGCCCATAGTACTGGGATTGAAGATGCTGCGTTCAGATGAACAGAATCAACTTAGTGGAGCTTCCTTACCTTGATGATAAAGCATTCATCGTGACAGACTTTACTAGCTTAGTTAATGTTTTATGCAAGCTTGTTTCCACCACTGAAAAAGTCCTTTTTTGGCATTAGCAAGTCAGAAGTTGAGGTTATTTTGTTTAGTGAGCCTAAATTTCAAGATTAAAACCCAAAAATCTATGTTATGTTCTGTTTTGTTTTTTCCAGTGGTGGAAACAAGCTTCCATAAGGAGTCGATGGAAACTCATAGTTTTGGTTTTTAGCCACAAAACCAAACAAACTAGTCAAACATTTTGCTGAGGCTGTCAGTAACTTTGCCCAGCTTTGTTCATATTCAACCAGAAGGGCTTCACTAAATAAAACCATAGGTAGTAGATAAGATGGATGTAGTCACTCTGGCAGTTATTGGTTGATAAAGGAGTGTTGAAATTGGATTTTATGTATGATCTGATATCTTTGTGTTAGTGGATTTCCTGCATTATTATAATAAATGTTGGTCCCGAATCAACACTGCCATAGACTGGTCAACTGTTTGGAGAACTCAGTTTGCATTAACCAAGAAGTTAGCTAATGCAATTGAAAGGTATCACGAGCAAGCTAACAGCAAGCTAACAGCAAGCTAAACTTTGTAATATATTCATTATAATGCATAAATGAATAAAAATAACACCTGAAATCCTTACTGTTTGCTCCAGAAGAAAGGTCTATGTAGACAACAAGTTGTTTATTTTTTATTATTAAAACAACAACAACATTTTCCCTACTTTACAAAGCTTTGACATCATGATTGGTCAATTGGATTGTTGATCCTAGACTAATATTAATAATGATTATGCAGGGACAACAGCGCCTGGATATCTGATCTGATTCTGGAACGGTACATGTGTGATTGTTAGCCACTGAGCACATCTTGAATAATCCCTTCTTCTTACTCGTAAGCCTCAGTTATACTGTCCATGTTTGCAAGTCCCAGCGTCCAAGGACCTTTGGAGTTTCCTGCTTTAAACCTTCTTTATCAAATTATCAAAATGCTTTCAAAAGTGTCTCACTTGCCAGCATGAGAGATAAGAAAGCCTCATTACATTAAACCCACGTAGCTTCCTCAGTGAGTTTTTAATATGTCCAAAAGTAGTCAGCTTGTATTTTGGTTTATTTGCTCATATTCTTGATGTGCTTTTGAAATCTAAGAGTAATCCCTGAATATTCAACTACGTGGTCATTTTGTTTGTTTGTTTTCCATTCAACATAAATATTTGCCTTTTGTTTAAACTTCATAGCAACACTGTACGTTTTCTGAATATTCAATCTGAGGCATGAAGGTTTAATCTTCATGCCATCTTCAGGCGAGTTCTTACTGCTGCACTGCCATGTTAAACTCATCTAGTAACTAACTTCTAACACGATCGATCAGACAAAGACTGACTCACTGGTTCCCTGTTTAATCCAGAACTGAATTTAAACTCTTCTTCCCATATGCATAGTACAAAATAAACATATATTAAATATCATATTATCCAACCAGAGCACTTTACTCTCAGACTGCAGTGATACTTTTGGCTACTCAAGTCTTTAAAAATAGAATGGGAGTCAGAGTCCTGAGCTATCAGGCCCCTCTCCTGTGGATGCAGGTCCCTGCTTGGCTTAAAACTTTCCTTTTTGATAAAGTTTACAGTTAGAGCTGAATCAGGTGTCCCTAAACCATCCCTTAGTCGTCACTCACACAGGCCTGGAGACCAGTTGGTATCCTCTGGTTGCTAGGGGAAAATACGTATTTCCTGATTGGAGGTTGGTTGCTGAAAGTTGTAGCTATATTTACTGCAGCAATAAATAATTTTACCTTGAAGGCTAATAGTCTTTGTTTTCAGTATTTATTGTGCTTTTCAACATTTTACTACTGTTTGGTGAGGAGTTTGTGCATATTTGCATGCAGGTCTTCCATGCAACTGTGGTAGCCTGCTGGTGGGAGGTTTCCAGTACACCACTGTATAACTCTTTGCAAATAATTCCACTTAGCATCTTCCAGAAACTACTCATCAGCTGGTTTGCTAACATACTTTTCCCCCTTGTGACCTCTAGTTTCCAATGAGTCACTGACCAGTCCAGTCTAGGCCGGCATGACTAGGGCTGTAGCTAACAATTTTACAGCGACTGTCAGCAACCTCCAGCAACCAGCCAGCAATCACTGAGGAATAGCATATTTTTCCCAGTGTGACTGGGGCCTTAGGTATAGCCTCAGGCTGCTGGGAGATGTGCAACAATGCACTGACCATCTCTTCTCCACCCCGTTGTGTTTCTTCTGCCATCACTGCAGGGTAACTTTTATTCTTTTTCTTTCCTTGTTTTTGGTCTCTCTGTGCTCTTCTTTTCTGTCTTCTCTTTCCCCTCACCCCCATTGCTGCCCACAGCCCCTCCCTGAGTATTTTTCTGTTGAGGGTCTCTTCCTGTTATAGGGACGTTCTTCCTCCCCACTGTTGCCAAGTGTCAAGTCTATCTGTAACAATCTTCTACTGACCAGCTACCTATATGCACTGCAGCAATAAAATTAACCTTAAATATGGAATTTGCTGTTTCAGAAGCCCAAAGCTACGAGAACCTGGCTGAGGAGAGCCAGAGCATCCACGACTACGAGGATGGCAACTGTGAGCAGAATGTAAGCAACCACGAGGAAAG